GGGGGGGGGGGGGGGGGGGGGGGGGGGGGGGGGGGGGGGGGGAATCTAACAATAGGCGGTGGAAACGCGGCGCGCATCGATCCTCGCGATGGGCGAACCCTCAATTGCCGGGACAAATTTAGAATTAATTCCTTATCACTGCGAACGTTGAGCGAAAATTTTAAATACGCACGCGCGGTAACGAGATATAGAATTTCCGCGGCTATTTTTGCTCGCTGAAACTTACTACACGCGTGTATATACAGTCGAAGTTACGCCATAAACGTAATTGCCTAATTTCCTAAAATGTCGAGCTAGCTCTTATGCGATTGCACGACATTTCATTACCCCAAATTAGAACGATTAATGAACGCGCTAATGTCATTGAAATAACAAACTGTAACACGCGGTGTTTCAAAGGTCGGCGATGCGTAATTATTCTCGCGGGCGGAATATCGTAAAATGTAAAGGCTCCAAAACGGCGCGTGTTCAAATCGGACTCCAATTTGATATTTAAATTTTATCGAATTCGACACATGCCGGCGCCAAACTGCATCAATCGCGACACACGCGCGGGTGTTCGTGCCTGCGCGTCAAAAGCTTGGCCCGCGCAAATTTCGGCGATCGTCGGGAGAAGGTTTAATGGCGGATTCGTTGGCGGAGTAAACCGTACCTCCGCTTGAATCGGGGATTGGTATCTCGGATTTTTTTCTCACCTCGACCTACTTACCCCGTGTCCGCGCTTTAATTCGCAAGCAGCTGTGATGCATCCGTGCGTCATCAAATGAATCTACATTCGCTGGTGCGTGTATATTATACACGCGGCCACGTCAAAAGTACTCAAGTGTGAGAGAGATTTTAGCAAATCTTTCTCTTTCACACCCCTCCCCCCCCACACAGACAGAACTGATTTCATGAGGAACGACGTACGACGGTGAAAGCGGCAGGGTCGAAGAGAAACTGCTTGTACTTGTAACGCCGTTCTCGCACGCGAATCTTTTCACGAACGGCGACCCTTTCGTCGAACACACGCGCCCGTGTTTTCCATTTTCTTGCGATTTCGCACTAAGCCCCCCCCTCCTCCCCCTGCACCGTTTCTCCGGTAATGGGAATTTATTTCCAACTACGTGATAGCTCGCCCGGGGAATACGAAAATGAATGCCATGATCGTAAAATAACAAGCTGCGCCATGAACCGGGACGAACGTGCTCGTACATACGAAATTTCGGAATTTTTGCTCTCCCTCCCTCTCTCTTCCTTTCTCTCTTTCTCTCTTGCTCCCCTCTGCTTATACGAATTTACTCGTTATTTTTTCAAGTTCCATCTTTCTAGCCATGCGTGTCGATATATCTTCTTTTTTTTTAATGTTTTAACTGCCGGACGAGAGTCAATTACGAGATCGTCAGCCGGAACAAAATTCGCAAACTCATGCATGGAGCGAAATTAATATTTCATCCCACGTCATCGCCATCATCCCCCGAGATTTTATGGGAGCCTCGATAAGCGCCGATTGTTATCGGCAGTCGCATGACGCACATTTAATTTTTAATGCAATTGGAAATGTCGAATCGAATAACTCTCATTTTCGCCCCTCCCTTCTTTTGTCTCTCCGTCTCTCTTTTCACGTTTCCCCCTTTTTTCCTTTAATTTCTCTCTCTCTCTCTCTCTCTTTACGGTCACATTTTTTTTTCATCGATCCTGCGACGAAAACGCGACGCCGATACGTTAAGGGAACTTTGTAATTTCCAGCGCGAATCGTAGAACGACCATTTCGACGGGACAGACTTTTCCCAATTGCGCTCGGTGATGCAATTAAAGTCGAGTCGCAGGAAACGAGATCTATCGGTCCCCTCCGATATAATTGTTTCCATGATGCGACCGGAGCATCAATTTTTCCCGCTCCGGTTACGTCACGAGAAATAGTACTTTACGCGGATCCGTCTTCGCGAATCTTTTCGAAATAACGGTGCGTATCGAAAAGAAGCAAACTATTATATTGCTCAATCTTTTAATTCGATGATTAATGTTTAAACGATAGCCAAAGGTTCTCTTTCGTAGCTCGGATCGCTTCTCCTTACCTATTTCTTTTTCCTTCAGTCGCGTTTTTCAATCGTCGCGACTTTTTCATCAAACGCGAGAGAGAGCCAAGGCTTTTCGCGCAGCGTTTTTAATCACCGGCTCGTTTAAGGGAGGCTGGGTCGTATCTTCTTCTCACGCGAGCCCGAGTATCTTTTGAATCACTCGCCCGATGCGCTTCCGACGCGCGTAGAGGATGAAATGGATATTGGGTGCAAGGGTGAAGAGAGAGGGAGGGAGGAGCTTTTCCAGCTTTCCCTCTCGGGCTGTCGGTTTCCGTTTTTCCCTCCCGGAGATCTCCGTATGCCCCGAACAGGGAGGGCGATGTATCTCCGCGGAGAAGCATCCGAGCGTATTTTAGAAGCTACTTGCGCGAACGGACGGTCGAAGAACAAGGGGGAAGGAGAGTTCATGTTTATCAATTTCAGAGCTATATCCCAAGACGCCCGGATAGAATCGATAAAACCGCGATAAAACCTGATAAAACCTGGGGTAGATAAAACTGATACATGCATGTAGACATTGTTGTAACGCGATAAAACTGCCGGATATAGAGGTTGGTGGCCGAGGACAGTTTTTAAATAGACAGTAAACGAAATCGGAAGGAAGTGCCTGCGCCGCGCGGATATTAGGAAAAAGTTGCCGAAATTTATATTATTAATATAAGCAACATTTAGTAACAAAAATATAAAATAAATGCGAAATGAGAAATATAGACAAAAATTCAACAGGTTACTTCCTGTTTTTTGTGCGTGCCAACAACATTTTAAAAATTCAGATACAACTGCATGATATTAATTTTTTTGATCATTTATACAGCCGATAATCATGCAATCATGCAATTTTATTACAAATTTTTACATTGTTCATAAAAGGAGATTTATTGTAGAATATTTTACATTCTTCGCATATACATATTTGCAATGTGCAATTATTATAAAGATTAAATCGACATTCGTATCCTTCTCTCGTTGCAGGAATTAAACAGTCGGCACTTAGATCCCGTGGAGGTGTTTCGCGGGATACCGTACGCCGCGCCTCCGGTGGGAGATTTAAGGTTTCGACCCCCCATCTCGCCGATACCTTGGAACGGCGTCAAGCTGGCGGAGACTTTCGGCGCGGTGTGCCCGCAGAATTATCCGGACCTCGCCAATAGCACCGCCGCTCTCTTGCAGATGCCGCAAGGCAGGTATCAGCAGCTCAAGAAGATGGTCGTCTTTCTGGCGAACCAGAGCGAGGACTGCCTCTTCCTCAATCTGTACATACCCGGAAGCGGTAAGAAAAACGGCATATCTCGAATTTATTTATAATAATATTCAATCATGTTAACTGTCGAACGGAGCGTTGTTGAAATTATTTTGGACAAGTGACTGTTCATCGCGCGTGTGCGATCCACTTTCTCGTAATACTTCCGTTCTTTAGGAATTAAATTACGTGGTGTGTCTCGAAAAAGTAGATTTCTTTTTCACGAAAGAAGGGCAAGGTCGCGCGATAAATAACGTCCCAAAAGGAGCTATGCAGAATTACGTTTCTATTGTCGCTTAAAGTACCTCGGCAGTAATGTAAAGTTCCTCAGTTCTGACAGAGTAAAAGGGATAATAAGTTTTAATGAAGGTCCTTTATTCTTCGGGAAGGTAGTAAAGCTACTCCACATTGAGTTAATGAAAGTTCAACTCCTGCTACTTGAATAAATAATGTATCTTTTGTATCTTTATTATTATTTATTCAAGACGCGTAGATTATTAGGATTGCAACTCGATTATCAATTCTCGATCGATCTTTATTTCAAGAGAAACGTACACACGTATACGTATATATCTTTGCTTCGCATTTCAAATAAATTCTTAAAACGTTCTGTTGTAAGAGATTAATAACATTTAAGCGATTGAAAGCACTCGTGCGTTGTGAGCACCAGAGCGGGGAGGAGAAAGAGCTGAAATTGATTTCACGCTTAAAATTATGTATCGGCGGCAACGTCCACAGAAGAACGCAATCGACCGCGGTTAATTTTCTACGACTAAAAAAAAACAAGATTTTATGCGGCGGAAAATAACACGTTACATCGAGGGGCCGTTGTAAAGTTTCAGGGTGGTTGGCGGCCATAATTCGGCGCTCCTGAAATTCTCAACTATATTATCTATCGGAGCCGACAATTTATGCGTCCGTATAGTATTACAAGGCGCAAGTTGCTTCCTAAAGTAATTAGTCCTAAAGTAATTAGTACCTTTATACCGGGGTAGTATCAACCTGGGAGCAGCCGCCGCATGCGCTACGTCGCACGTTGGCTCGGCGCGCGCGATGAAAGATAGAGGTGAATTTGCAACGTAAAGCGGGGTCGGCCTGCGCCGTAACCTCGGTAGGGAGCTAAAAAGGAGCGCGGGAAGAAGGATTGAAAATTGCGCGAGCTACGCCGAGTAACACGAGGGAGACACGGATAAGCAGGGCACGGTGCAGAGTAAGCCACTGTAAGAAAAGGATGACTCTCAGTTGAACCCAAGAGAATTTCCGCTTTAAAGAACTCCAATTTTCGTGGCAAACCGACGAGAGCGGTGTATATCGTCGCCCTGATGCTTTCGCAGGTCCGATTTCAGGCCCGCGAATTTTGCGCGACGATTAGAGGCGCGATTAACGATCGCCGCGAGCGGCTGCTCTATATGCAATCGCGGCCGATAAGACGGTGTACGGCTGTCGATCGGCATTCAGTAATCGACAAAGACGGCGCTTTCGCAACGTTGCGAAGCGAGTATTCCCGCCCGGATCGATCGATACTAATTGGGCTAGTTTTACGGAGTTAACGGATAATCAAAGTAAGATCGCGGCGCGCGATTGAATTAGTAACTACGATGATTGCGAACTCAACGTAACTTGGCAGCGCGCGCGCGCAAAGCCGCCTCTCTCGCGGTGGTGGTTTATTAGGATGATGTCTCCCTAGACAGGTAATCCGATGTAGTATAAATCGTGCAACAGACAGACGTTAATTAGTTGCGACGCGGCGGACGGATAAACGCGCGCGCTCCCGGTTTATTAGTTACTAAGACGATTATCAATTAAACGGGGACTTTTAATCTCGAAACCCAGGCTCTGACGGAGACGTCGTGTACATTGAGGACCTTCGTCTCAGGAGGTGAGGAGATTCGTTAAACCCGAAGTACTTACAAATACGAAAACTCGAGGATTCGAGACGCGCGCAGAGATCTATAAAAAGGCCGTCGTGTAATCCTGAAGCCTTTTATTAAGGTAGTCCTTTTGCAGCACCTTAGTCAAGTAACAGTCTGTCATGAGGTAATTGAAAACAAACATATTGCAACATCCCAATAATTATAATAATATAAAATATGATTTTACACGCACGATTTAATCGTATTTAATTATTTACTAATTTAAAAAATATCACAATAGTAGTGCGGTTGTACTCGATTTAGGTTAGGTCTAAAAAAAAAATAATTAAATACGATTAAATCGTGCGTGTAAAATCATATTTTATATTATTATAATTATTAGGATGTTGCAATATGTTCGTTTTCAATTACCTCATGACAGACTGTTACTTGACTATAGGTGCTGCGAAAGGACTACCTTAAGACAAGCTTTAATTTACCTCCGCGGTGCCGGCTTTACGCGACGCTCTCGACGTAAAATTTTACGTCCGCCGTAAAAGGCGAGCGTTTGAAAAAAGGTAGGTGTCCGTTTTATCGGAGCGATTTTCCAAACCGTACCGTATCGGTTTACGACGATCCGCGTGTAACGCGCGCGGCGCGGGCGGACCCGCGTGGGATGCGCTTCGAACGAATCCTGCTATCGCGTAAACCGCTTCCGCGCCGATCGTGAGAGACGCGTTTATTTTACGCGCGCGAGAAGTCGCCGCCGCGCCGCGCAACTTCGCCTGCGTAAATAAATTCGCGGAGGCGGCGCGGGCGATCGATCGGCGCGCGAAGTTGCTCAAAGAGAAGCCACATCCTTCGCTCTTCCTCTTCGCCCTCCTTTCAGTAAATGAACAGCTTTGACGCGCGCCACGACGGTTTTTCCGCCAGAGTCGTTCTACGTGCGACGAATCGCGATATACCGTGAATGCGCCTTTCCGACGATCTCGAGAGACTGTTAAAACGTGACGAGTACCCGCGCGCAGAGAGCGAGCAGTCGGATCCTTAGCGCGGATCACGCGATGCAATTAGTCGTCTTAATTGGGCAGATGGCAAACGGCGAAAACGACTGTTTGGCTAGCGGGGACGATTTCATTTTACGTTTGTCGGGCGAACAGAGTGGAAACACATTCCGCGAGACTTGGGAGTAAATTTAATCGGAGTGAAACAATATCGCGTAACGAAGTTACAGGCGCGTGGCGCGTGTGCAAAGAAACGAGACTCTTAAAGCGATGAGAGCTCGCCAGGCGCAATCCTCCGCTTTACATTTTGCGGCTCGCTCGCGACGGGGAGGAGAAGGGTGGGATAAAGCGGGTATAAGCATAATGCTGCGTGAGCGATAATGTCGCTTGGTATTACGGGAAAGCTGGATCTGTCAATGGAAGGTTTACACGGATGAAAGAGGAGTTTATTCGCGGAAGAAAATGGAAGAGCGACCGCGCGGACGGACACAACTCCAACGGTTTGCCTGCTCTGCTTTCAGGATCTCGAGGACTGGAGGCGCCATACGCGGTGATGGTGTACGTACACGGCGAAAGTTTCGAATGGGGATCGGGTAACTTGTACGATGGATCGGTTTTGGCGAGCGCCGGCCACGTCATAGTGATCACGCTCAACTATCGTCTCGGCATCTTAGGTACGTGCCAGCCTTTAATCAACCCCGTCCCCGTATATCCCCGAAAGCATTTTCATTAAGCGAACCTCCTGACGCAACATTCCACGGTCGCGGATAAAGCAATTCCAAATAACATCCACCTTTCCGCCAAGATACTTCAATTTGTAATCTGTAATCTCCGATATCTTTATTTATTAATTAATTTGTTTATTTAAAATTTTCTTCACTTCTGAATGTGTGCGCTAACTTGTAGAAGGTTCCTTTGTTTACTGAATAATATTTAAATTGACAGTTAATAAGTTTTAAATGAATTCTTATCATTAATATTGGAAAAAGTTCCAGTGTGTATCTGGAAAACGGAAAAGTCGCGTCTATTACTCGCACTTCCTCGAAAGTAAGTTCGTATCATTAACTGCCTAGCTATACTCCCCCGAAATAGAGAGACAGCTTCGTAGAAACCATTTACATTCTTAAGTCAATATTGGCACTTCGAAGACTCACAAAATGTATCTCTGTCGTAGCGCGGCTGGGAATACGCGAAAGTCTGAAAATGTCAGTTCTATCTATTTACTTGTCAAACTGCCTTGGTTTATGACTTAATAGTGTAACGAATATTTGCACGCTTTCGTTTAATTATCGCTATATAGTCGGAGAAACGTTAAATCGAATCTTCACGCGTATCGCCCTTTTATTTCTCCGTAAACTTTTCTTTTATGAAATTCTCCAGTCGTAATCGTCAGAAATCTTCGTCTCTTAAATCGAAAATCCGCTTTCACGGCGAAACTTGCGAAATTTTATTGAACAAACGCTACCGCATCGCAAATGTTGCGTGAGAACGAGGGGAGTAAAGAAAAAAAAAAGAAGGAAATGCAATAAGGGAAGGATATCGATGCGATCCACGTGAACGTTTGAATCGCGAACGGTTTGGCGTTCTTCCAGGATTCTTGAGGACTCGTCCGTTCGCCGACCGAACGACCGGATCCGGCGGGAATCTTGCTTTAAAGGACATCGCGATGGGGCTCCGCTGGGTGCGCGAGAACATCGGCGCCTTCGGCGGCGATCCGACGCGGGTGACCCTGATGGGCCACGACACCGGAGCGGCGCTGGTTAATCTGCTGCTGCTCGCGCCTTACAGCAAAGGTAGGAGAGGAGAATCCCGAAACGCAATTAGCAATTAATCCCTCGGACTTTTTTCCGAACGCTCGCGTGCACCGCGCACGTATACGAGACGTTGCATTCCGCGGGGTCCGGTTTTAACGGTATACGTTCTTACGATTTAAGTGCCTCCCGCGGTAATTAGAGATAGGAGAGACGTGCGAGACGCAGCGCGGGAGAAACTTACGTTTACGAACGCGCGATTCGCGTATTTACTCTCTAAAAGTCGGAAAATGAAGTATCACTTAAAACGAGTGAATTTTAAGTGTTATAGCTATAATTTAGCTATATAATTTAGCAACAGTAGCGAAACCTTTTGCTCTCGCTGCAAAAAAAATGTTAGCTGTCCCTATTTTACAACTAAATTTGTTATAGAAAAGTATGTTTGTTCCGCCAATAAGTGATTAACAAGAAAAACTTTATTTTTAATCGACAACATTTGGCAATGTCGTGACAATTCGACCATTGGTTTTGGTCGGATTAATCGTCACGTTTTCAACCATGGGTTTTGGTCTCTTAATTTGTTATAGTATTATAGCCAATCTTTTTTCCGTGTTTACTCAAATTAGAATGACAACCCTCTCGTTTGGAGTGACTATCGTAATCACTCTAATACATTAGTGGCGAAACCACTCTATGAGATTTAGAGAGTAGACGACATTCGAATAAGGGTACTCACGTCTTCCGCGTCTCACTCAATTTCGACTCAATCGACGCGTATATATACTTTGCGAAGGCATATCGCGCTTGTTCCTTTCAGCGCGGCGTCAAATCCCCATTGACAGCTTAATGCCGTCATCGCGCGCCGTCAGGCTTAACAGTTCATCGGTCAATCTCGCCACCGACGTACTGTTGCGATAGAAAATAAATCAATTCGATCGCGGGGCGCGGTACGAACGCCCGGTGTGCTGAGGGCCGGTGGAAATATTTGCTTGTCGAGTAACTTGATCCAATATTTACGTAACGCCGCTAACGTATTAATAACGTTGTTGTTTACGACAAGGGAAACACAATGAAAAATGATACCGCGATACCGCCGTTTCACCCCTGGCGGAAAATGCATGCGTGAAATTCGACGTAACCGAGCGAGGAGAGGGTTGCGCGGATCGGAGGTACGATCGATTCCGCGTATCGGCGAAAATGATCTCGCCGAAAACCTATACCCGAGCGAAATAACCCAGGCGGGCAGGTTAGAAGCGAGGAAGAGACGAGGAGTAGACGCTATTCGCAGGACCTTCGGTAGATTAATCGTCCGGGGATTAGTCGGCGAGGGTCTCGTGGAGGAGACAACCGAAGGGTTGGTCCGTCCTCTCAAAAAAACATCACCGCGCGGACCGGGGTGACAAATTGCGGGACTCCATTTTATTCGATGAGGGGGGGAGAAAGCGAGACGGGAGGACTTTTCCTTTTTTTTCTCTCCTTCTTCTCCCCCCTTTTTTTTATCGTCGCCGGACAACACCGGCCGAAATTGAACGATCCTCCCGGCTTTTGTCCTTTCAGGTGCTAGGTGGCGCGGGATCCCGCGCGCGGTATGGCTACTCGGACGGCGCGAGAAAATTGCGCAATAATAAAAATGCATGGTCCTCGGGACGCGCGTCGGAGGACGCGCGCGGAAACAAAAGCGGTGACGCTAAAAGGGTCGTAAATACATCGCCGCGCGATAAATCCACGCGAACGCGATTACGGCGCGTGATATAGTTGGACGCTAATTCCGCGCCAATCAGGCAAATTATGACTAACGCCCGTTCTACCTAGTGCCTACCCATACGCCTCGCGCATAATCGACGGTCCAGATTCGTCCGATTTGGCACGCTTAAATTATCGTGCGCCCCCAGCCGCAATAGTTTATCTTCGAAAAATAGATATTTTTACACAAAATTATCCATTGCGATTTAAATCTTGACATTTTTATTTCATGCAAAATTGAACCCTTTACTTAGATGGAATTAAATCCTGAATATATTAATGAAAAATTAATCTCTGCGTAGGACACGGCCGTGAAAGGCAACATTGTCGCCTTCGCGGCAAACTCATATCTTTCGGTTCTCGAAATTGTCATCGTCGATAGGAAAAGCCGAAAGTGTAAATAGCCACTCAGACAGGCGGAACGTGCAGAAGGAACACGAAGGATAAGAGGCATGGGATGGGGGATAAAGAAGGTTTCTCTCGCTGTGGCGGTCGGCCGGAACCGCTCTCCCGTCTGGCCATTTCCCGGACCTCCGGTTGTGCCGGAAACAGCGCGCAAACAGTTTACATCTCGAGAAGGGAGCATCGCTCTTGCTTGTGCATTCCTTCCGCGCGTCGCGTCCTTCCTCTCGAGACTCGACTGCGGTCTTAGAGCGAGCGAGTGAGAGAGAGAGAGAGAGAGAGAGAGACGGACAAACCCTCAAGGAAACCGCGCTTTTCTTGGGCGTCCCGGACGCAGAGGTCAGTCGGGTTTTTTCGGCACCTTACCGCACTTTTCGCTCCTTCGATTTCGACGTCTCGGTCACCGCCGGTGGTTTCCGCGAAGACCAGGTGCGGTTCCGTACTTCTTACCGCCGTTGGTCAGAGATTGCAGAAGCGGAAGGCAGGATGCTCTTCTCTCGGAGGAGGAAATGCGCGCGGCGGTCAACGAGCGAAACGGCAACGAAGATGCATCGATCTTCAATCCGGCGCGCGAGCTAAAAGTCTTAACTTTTTTTCTCTCGTGTAATTTTCTTCTCACGCCGTTGCGAGTATTCTGGAAATATTTTTCGAGATTCTACTCGGAGACCGCGCGAGGGGCTCTGAGATGTGATTGCCAAAGAATTAAAGATTAACTCTCTTACTTTACTCGCGACAAACGACATTGGCTTCTCCGGCAGACGAATGCAGACGTCTGCAGTCTCGCTTAAATATTGCAGTTCGGGCGGTCGGTTGGTCGGGTCTGGGACGTACGGCTATGCAAAGTTAACGGACGACTGAGTGGAATGAATGGGCAAGTGTCGATGAGAGTTTTGCCGCTTGACCGCGCGGCGGGCGCTGCAAAAATATTAATAGATCCCCTTGCCGCGACACGCGGTCGCGAGGAAACTCGCGAGAGTTGCGATAAACGCGTTGTCTCGGTGATAACCGACGCCGGTTAAAGCCGTGACAAACGCCGTCACAAAGGATTCCGGATTAAGTTGCACCGAAACTGGTGTAAAAATCGATTGGGGGGTGGGGAGGGGGGGGAAGTGTTACGTTGATTTCCAACGATTTTTCGCGGTACCCACACCGGCGTGCAATCCGCTTTTTGCCGGCGCATTTTGTTGTACTCGATACGATTACGCGGAGAACGGCTAATGGCTTTGCCCGACGTTGCGTAAAAAGTTGCAAAACGATCGGTTTGGGTTTCAACGTCGATAACTAGCCCCACGTCGAAGGGTAAGTACGATTGCTTTTCCCGCCGTTAGCTGCTGTCTGCCTTCGGCGGATTTCGATGTCCGATGATAAATGAAGACCGCGCGCGCTCTCTACCTCCGACCGGCTCGGCCACCACCGCCGAGCCGAAGACATAAACGTTTCGTATTACATCGATCTCTCGTGTAATTCAGAAAGCCACTTCTTCTGGCCGTCTCAGGGGTGTTTGGGGCGCGGTTTCCCCACGCCTCCCTTTCCCAATCCCAGAGAAGACCGTCGACGTTACGTATCATCACTCGGGCAAGAGACAAGAGAAATAAGCTTCTCGTGTGGCGCGGGGAGACAGTCTCGATTTATCGTTTCCTTCCGTTGTAATTTTTTATGAGCGAAGACCCCGAGCGTGTGCAGCACGCCTTGAAATGTCTTCTCTCTTTCTCTCTCTCTCTCTCTCTCTCTCTCTCTCTCTCTCTCTCGCGCGCGCGCGCGCACCTACATATGTGTTTGTTTGCGTGTATGGATTCTTCAATCCTTGGACCAAGGCAACACCAGTTCTTCTAAGAGAAAGAGAGAGAGAGAGAGAGAGCTACTGCTTCTCTCTACTTTCCCATCTGTTCCTCCAGCAGTTTCACGGCTCTTACGGATCAGAGATACGAGCGATTGGCTTCGTGAGTAATCAAGGGGGCAACCGAGTGTGATTCCTGGCAATTGTCTGATTCGCTATATCCCGAGACATAAACGCTCGCCACGGTTATATCATGATAACTCGAGCGTCTTCGACGTTTCGGATTATATGTTTGTGCGGACGCGCGCGCGCGCGAGAGAGAGAGAGAGAGAGAGAGAGAGAGAGAGAGAGAGAGAGAGAGAGAAAGAGAGAGATGGGATTTTATTGTCCGAAAATATATTCTCGCATGAAAACGGATTGGTCGATCAAGCTCGGTAGATCAACACAGAGATCAATAAATATATGAAGTAAAAAGAAATAATCTAATAAGTTATTATAATTTTCTAAATCCTCATGCAAAATAATCTTAGTTTTTTACTTTAAATTTATTAAATGTATGTACATCGGTGTTTCAATAATTAGATATGAAATTTGTTATTAAAATTTATTGTGATTAGAAATGTAGCGGGCTCTCTCGTGTCCCGAGAAAAAGGTATACGGCGAGAAAAGCCAAGCGCCATGCAATACCACGCATAACAATAAGTCATAAAAATAGCTTCCAAACAGTGTTTCTACCTTCGCGTCTTCCGTTTCGCGCGGCGCACCCCCTTCGTTCTATTTTGCAGTTCGTTACCGACAAAAATAACCGGCGAGAGAAACGTCCCGGTGACGTTACAAAAAAAAGAACAGGTAGAAAAAGAGAGAAAGAGAGAGACCATTCCCGGATTTTCGAGATCCGCGTCGTTATTGGTCCACGTACAATTCCGCCGGATGCGGAATTGATTTCGGCGTGTTACTCTATCATCTCCACGATCGCCAAAATTGTTTTTTGATAGGCCGCTAACGCACGAAATTTCGATACAACGCTATTAAATTTATTTTCAAACTATTGAATTATTAACCGAAACAATATCTACCGTCATTTTACTCTGAACTTAGCAGGTACGTCAGCAATGTGCAT